AAATCCCAAAAAGTACTTAAATGTAATTTTCTTGAGTTTACAGTTCACCTCATGACCTTCATATTAAAGTGTGTCGCAAAACTGAAATATTAGATAATAGCATTTTAACCGATGGGTTCGCAGTTTATCTATTACCACATAAAAAGGATCTTTAGCCCTTTTGAAACTACACTACTAATATTTATCTCACGCGATTTTTTCTAGAAAGATATTTTTGCTCTATACAAAGTCCAGCACTCTAAGAAACTTTTTTACATTGTTGTCTGGTATATTTTGTTATAAGTTCAACATGATGGCTGAGAGAATATACTTATCCACTGATTATCACCAAATATTAAAAGAAATATTTGTATATAGAAATCTATAAATATCTCGATTAGTTTTAGGTGATGCAAACAACCGTTTGGTGAACCAAACTATACTCTGTTGCAACATGTTGCGAAACTATAACAATGTTGCCTTAGAATTCGACAATTATTATTTGATTATTATTTGGTATCTTATTAAGTTATGTTATTGATCATAGATTTACTATTTTAGATAGATACTATTTTTCTCCGAAATGTTAACTTTAACGAAAAGAAGCTATTTAACTCAAACATGGTATATGTGATATAAACTGAACCAAAGGGGTTAGATTTAATATGTGGGGTATATGAGGTTGCTGTTGTAGGAAACGAGCGGAAATCAGTATATTCGGGTTATAAGGTTTAAACAAAGGTTTAGACCAATTTAATTCATATGCAGCGATAAACCACATTATTTAAAAAAAAAAACTGTCCATTTAATTTCATTAAATTATAAAATTAACGAAAAAAATTTTACCATAAGATTATACCATAAGTAGTACATGTATGCTGGGAAAATTCGTGGATCGATTTCACACATTTTCGGCATTAAACTGTTGTATATCTAATATTTTACGTTTATATAAAGTCAAATGGAAGTTTGAATTTTTTACATAAAGTATGTTGGAGCTAGGGTCAATATATACCCGATAATGGGTACTAGGGCGGAACCAAAAATTTTATACTCTTGTAATTCGCAAGAAAACAACATCCATTATTAAATGATATTACAATCAAATTTGGTATCTTCTTGACTCATATTAAAGGCAATAAACTTAATCTCAGTTTTATTGCTATATGTTATGCTCTCCCAAAGTCAAATGGTATACTCGTTTTAGATTTCTTTGTGGATTTTGCCACCTTGTTCTATGTTGACCGATATTTTCGGTAAAATTCAGCTATAGGCACTGGGGTCCACATATTCAGTACCTAGGGGCTTGAACAATTTTGATTCGATTTAGACAATTATTAATCACAAGGTGGCATACTTCAAACGCATTATTCACGCAAAGTTTTACTCCGATACAATCATGTTTGCTTGATATGCATAGTGGAAAGTGAAAGAATCAGATGGAATTGAAAATGGTGTTATATGGGAAATAGGCGTGGTTGTAGTCCGATTTTGCCTATTTTCACACTATGACATATAAATAAAACTTCATGCACCGAATTTGGTTGAAATCGGTTAAGCAGATCTCAAGATATGGGTTTTCGCCTAAAAGTGGGCGGTGCCACGCCCCATGTCTAATTTTTAACGCGGTTCCTATAAAGTCATCTCATACCATCACATAAAATTTAATGTCTCTGGCGTGTTTAGTGCTTGACTTATCGCGCTTTTAGTAATTTTTAACAGTACCGTTATATGGGGAGCGGGCGGAGTTGCCACCCGATTTATTCTATTTTCACACTGTAGGTAGAGGTTCTAAAAACATTTGCTCCCAGTGAACTTTTTTATTATAGCATTAGCGGCTTAGGAGATATGTACATTAAACCTATTAGGGGCGGACCACGCCCACTTAAAAATTTTCTTTTAACTGCAGATGCCCCTCCCTAATGTGATCCTGTGTACCAAATAACAGTCTTGTATCTTATTGCGGAGCTTAGTTATGGCAATTTACTTGTTTTTGATTAATGGCGTTTTGTGGGCGTGGCAGTGGTCCGATTACGTCCATCTGTCCAACCGTCTCACGAAACCAAGTTTCATAAAGATATCTCAATTTTTACTCAAGTTAGAACTTGCACGGACGGACGGACGGATGGATAGACAGTCACCCGGAATTAAACTCGTCTCTTCATCCTGATCATTTATATATATATATAACCCTATATCTGACTCGATTAGTCTTAGGTGATACAAACAACCGTTAGGTGAACAAAACTATTATACTCTGTAGCAACAGGTTGCGAGAGTATAAAAATAATTATGCATATGTGAAGTGGCATTTGTATTTTATGTTCAAATTATTTAATTTTTCTCTTTATGTTGGTAGATACGAATTTGTCAGAGAACGTTGTTATAAATTCTCATTTCTATTAAATAAATGCAAATATTACAGAAAATGCGGAATTCCTTGATCTCAATATTTCAGCTCTGTTAGCCGTTCAATCGAGCATCATACAAAATTCAATTTGCACCTTTTCGTTCTTCTAAGTTCTCTGGTCTAACACCACATCTAGGCCTTTAGGAGGCCTATTGTGTTACCTCCGGGACTAAAGTCCCTTCATTCTATTGTTTCCTCTCTGCACCACCCGGTGCTTCTGGTTAAGTTCATCAGTACGAAAATTTGTATATTAGAAACTTCCGAGACGTTATCCAGAGACCATTCGCCGATAGTTGCGATTATTTTCCTATACAGACTTTTACAGCCGCATAGAAGATAATTAATGGTTTCTTCCTCTCCCGCTTCCTGACAGCTTCTATAGCAGTCGAAATATGGTGTTCCTAAATTACTGGCATGTCAGCCAATTAGACAGTGACGTAAACTTCTAATAAAGGTCCTATAACGTTCCTTGCTCCATTCATGCCACGTTTGCTGCTTGTTAAGCAAGTTAGGAATAGATTCCACCTTGACTCAGCTATATTTATAACATATTTGTCGATTAAATATCTGCAAGTAGCCAGAAGCATTTTATCAATTTTATTCGATTTGATATGGAAAGCCCATTAGCATTCCATATGGCTATACGAATATCTGCATACACACATAGTTTATTTACAAGAAGCATTATCATATTAAGAAAATTACTTATTTGTTCAGCTTGTTTTTCTAAAAGTTTTTCAATTTTGGACAATTATTTTATTATTATTATTTCCCACTATCTGAGCATAAGTTGGCTGATTGCTATTGTTGGTTAAGTTATTTAATTGATTACTGGGACTAGCTTTAGATTTAACTGGCTATAATTGGTCCCGTTAACTTGAGATTGGCTCTTATTCAAAACTTTACTAACAGACTTTATACTGGATATAATTTTTTTTAAAGCAGTTAAGAAAATTTTGCTGCAAAGTATTTGTCTTTTGGGCAGATTTTACTTGGATGCTGTAGCGAACATTTATCGCATTTAAACTTTTTATAAAAGAATTATTATGTGTGGCCGAACCCTTAACATCGGATCATTGGATAATATCACTTACCTTCTTTGGTGATTTTATATTAACAACAGTCAATTGTAAATTTCAGGCTCAAGATCTATAAAAAACATATTTAATGGTTCCTTAGTAATACGACTTTTTATTTTAATAACACCTCGAACAGCATATCCAATGGAGTAGTATGATGAAGATTTTTGATTAAAACACAAAAAGCTCTATATTGCTTTAGTTGAATCGTATAAAACTTAATATTATAATTTTTCATCATTTTGATGAGTTCTCTATACTTATGAACCGACTTAAGCATGACTCTAACATTATCACCTCGTTGTGATTTGTAAGTGAACTCTTTGTCATTAATTTTAGTTTTAGGGAAGTTTAATATACCACTAATTTCACAGACATCAACTATAAATATTGGTGGTGGTTTTCGATTTTCAAATTATTTACTTTTCACGCGCTCGTGTTCAGTTGCCTTTTTACCATTCATTTCGTTATCAGTATTTGTATCCTTCAAGAATGTTTCTTCAGCGTCGTCATTTTTAACTTCCCGCTAAGAAAATTGAAAATTTTCTAAAAATCGGGAAGATATTGGTTTCACCCCATTTTGCAAAAATCGAGTTCTCAACAGATCTCGACGTTTTGAGGGTCGAGGAAGCTTCCCCGAACATTTCTACGATGATGTCTGTATGTCTGTATGTATGTGTGGATGTATGTGTGTGTGTGTGGATGTATGTGACCCTCTTATAACTTTTAAACGGCTCAACCGATTTAACTAAACGGCATTCCAAAGGGTTTCATTGCACTTGAATTTCGTGTGAGTTTGGACCCAATCGGACCAGTAGATTTTGAGAAATCTCAAAAATAAAAATTTTGAAAAATCGTTTTTTTCGAACTAATCAGTTCTAAACCTTGAAAAAACTCATCGTTTGCCGCAAACCGGGTCGAAATCGGTTGATTTACTTGCGAGATATCAAAAACGAAAAATTTCGAAGAGCTCAAAAGCAGTGAAAAAAGCGAAATTTGAACGTTAGCGTATGAAATTAGAGGGAAGTTGCAGGGATGGCCCTTGAGGCCAACCGTTTTCCACATTTAATTTTTTTGGTTTACAATATTTGAAGTGCTGGCATCATAGTGCCGGTTGTTTTTTTAATCACATTTAGTGAGTTCTGTATTGATTTTTTTGCTGGTCGTTTTCTTACTTATTGCCATGTTACTGTTTTTGTTTGCAAATATGTGTGCATAGAATATTAGAAATATTTCGAAAAATTGTAAATAAGGAGAAAATTAAGATACTTATATTAAATGTAATAATATACGAATATATATAAAAGAATTCGAATAGAAATGGTAACTTTACTTTTTTATATTTACATACAATATTAAGATGCTCTCATATTTTTTTTTTTATAACCGCAAAAATTTAGTTCGAATATCATTTTATTTACAAAAAAATTGTAATTAATTCGAGGATGTTGCGAATTTTTCCACTTTTAATTGTGTTTAGACTTTACGTGTTACAACATTGAGTTCTGTTACAATTACATTTTTAACGCACATTAAATTTCAAGTGCTGTTTGTGAAAAACAAACATATTGAAGTGGAAATAACCTTTGATAGCATTTGTTTTATTTTGGTGAGTTTTTATATTTATTTTATATTAATTTTGAGCCCATTGTATGAAAGTTTATTTTTTTTTTATTTTTTTCCCAGGTCAATTATATGTAGTCGGTTGAATCGACAATATCAACAACAACAACGAAATAGAAAGTCATTGAATTTCTTCCAGTTTTCTTTGCATGCGGGTTGGTTTGTTGCAACTTTTAACGAAAATTGAATTGACAATATTCATTTTATTATGGTGACTTAGAATTTTTAGGTAAATTTCAAGTGTATTGTTTGTTAAATTTTTGACCATTTTTCTTCAAGTTTAATTAGTTGGTTAAATTGACATCAACAGCACGCCATCCCATTACTTTCTTTATTATTATTATTTTTTTTTGCGCTCAAATACATCTATTTCATCATGCCTTACTGTAAATCGCTTACAGAAAGAGTACAGAGACAAAGAAATAGAGAAAATATGCAATTGAGTAGAACCCGAAATGTAATTAATACTGCAAATTTAATTTTAAATGAAATGATAACAATGTTGATAATAATTCAGTTCATTTCCTTTGCATTAGTTGACATACCGCCTAATATTAATCCCTTTCATATTGGTTCTATGAACTTGGTTTGTAAGCATTGTTAAGCTAAGCATTTTGCTTCATAGTCTACAATGCGTGAAACAAATTCCTTCACTATGTGTTGTCATAAGAGTAAAGTCCATCTTCCACTATTAACACAAAATGATTTGTATAGATATTCATTATATGACGGTCTCACATCAAATGATAGAAATGCAAGATAATTCATTTATTGAAAATATTTCAAAATGAAGCATCAGTTCGAGACTTCATCAGTATTTCATTAAAAAAATATATCAATATTTTATATTAATTATTTTACCATCCTTTCGCAGGTACATACGTGGTCACATATGACGACAAATTCAAATTATCCGATTTGAGTGGATTGTTCATTCAAGGAAGAATTAAGCCAAAACCAGAATAGATTTTCTCCACATTTTGTTCAAATTGTTCAACAAAATTTAAATACTATTAACATTGTTAATAAATTGTATTTTCTATTGGTCGAATTTCGTCCCCGTCCGGCGACTCCAGTTGTATACAAAAACGTAAAAACATTAATTCGTAAAATAAACTTATATTATTGATTTACAGTGAAAAAGTTTTAGTAAAATGAATAGAGTAATGTTAGAAAAATATTTTAGTTATTTTTTAATAAATACATTTATGTGTTGACAATGTAATTGTTAATTAAGTGAATGATTAAAAGGATCCAAGGGGTTTTTGACGTTTTGATTTGAGGTGAAGGTTCTTCCATTCAAAAAATATTGCACAGACAAAAACAAGTAATAGTCCGAAGGTTCCAAATCTGGAGATCGCTTTGAAATCCCAACAAACACACAACATAAATTTTTTGGTGACTATTGGCCTTTGGAGTGGATTCCTTTTTAAACCATGATCTCTTTCGCTTTACATTTTTGTAAACAACCCACTTTTCGTCGCCAGTAAAAATGCGCTTCAAACGTGGATCTTTTCTTTGTCGTTTGATAAACAAATCACAGTCGTTAATGCGACGAAACAAATTTCATACCAGAAAAACATGAGGAACCCATATGTCAGGCTTCGAAATTAAGCCGAGATGTTACATGTGCTTGAGAACGGTCGCATTAGACAAATTTAATGTTTCAATATTCTCTAGTGTTGTTATTCGACGACTTGCATTGAGAAAACACCTTTATATTATCCACATGTACTTCAAGAGTCATTCCAGGACGTGGTGCATCCTCAAGATCGAGTTTGCCGGAACGAAGTTTTGCTAACCAATTATTTAATTTGATAGTAAAACAGTAAAATATGCAGAAAATGATGTTTTCGATCTTCTATCTTCGAGAAGTCAACAAGCAAAAACTATTCCGAAAAGTTAAGGAAAATTTTTCACAAACAAGCCTTCCTATATAATCTGTTCAAGTGGTTAAGTGTGATGTTGACTGCGAAAAAATTCAATAAGATCAGCTTTTGTCATCAAACGAAATTACTTAAGGAACGATCCAATATAAACGAGCGGTGTTGCGATCTATTATAATGAATGCGATACAATAAACATTGACACTCCACATTTTCATATGAGTGCAATTAATTCCACTTCACATACAGTGAGTTTGACTTAAATTGGCGATATTAGCTTAAGTAATTGTTAATTTTCAAATGGGAAAGAAATTTTCATCGCATCGATCTACATATCTCCTAACCAAAAGACATTTGAGGATATCATGTATTTCATACAGAGTTCGTTGCTGATGTACACTCATGTTGGTGCTGCTCTCCTTGGCAGGCGTGATGATCACATACAATTGATTCTTGGTTGTGACTCAAACGATTACTACTCATCTTTATTCGTAAAAGATTCCTTTAGATATGATAACGACCGGAAAATTGCCACGACTAAATCAAAAACAACGATTAATGCTATATTCTCCAGAAATCTATACTATTTAGAATAACGCACATATGTTTCATTCTTCAGTTACCATAAAGCTATAATATCCGCTTTACCTATACCTGGTCCGATTGAAGATAATGTACAAATTGAAGAAATAAATTGAATATTACATTTGTATTGCCATTCTTCAATTGCAAATTATGTGGTGGCCCTCCACATGATTAGAATAATTTTGTCGCTAATTTGGAAAGATACTTTTTATTAAGTACCCTAATTATACTGTAATGTAATATTTCACAACACACACGATTTTGTATGATACAATAACGATTCGAAGTTTCAAATATTTTTGCTAACTTGACTTCAGCACCATCTGTTGGGATAAACTGGCATTAATATGGAATTTGATCGAAGATTTAGTACAGCGACAGTAGCGAGGTCTGTGGGATGCAATATAAAACATTTCGAAAACATAAAAATTATATAATATTATATATACCATTCGGGCGATGTTTAATCAACGCGTGTGAACATTTGATAGAAAATTATTAAAAAAATATTTACTTCAATTACGAATATATCAGGGAAAATATTTTTGTAATAACAGCTGGCATGCCCTTGTGCCGAAAATGGGTAAAATCGGGTCAATACTTCCCTTAGCCCCGAAATACCTAATATAAATAATTTCAAACTTCCGGTTGACTTTATACCGTATCTATCGGTCAATATATAAGAAATGTTAATGAAATTCCGAAAGAATCTCTTTCCAATAATAGTGTATCTTCCTGCCTGTGATTGTAAATAATGGATACAATACTTTTAATTAAAATATGTACGAAAATCCCGTATATTACTTTACCTTGGGATGGTATAAATTGTTCGGTTATACCCGAACTTAGACCTTCCTTACGTGTTTAATTCAGTTTTGTCCTTGATTTGAAGGCCCACAGGGCCTCACTTCTGTGAAGTATCTTAAAAACTATTTATTATATATCGGCTGGTGTTTTTTATGAAAATCTCATAAGTATATCTGAGTGCAACTTTATTATGTGTACAAGTGCTTCAAATGTATTCTTACAAATTCTACTTTTTTCAAAAGTTCGAAACTCAATCATCAACGGATTGATTTCGAATAATATTCTCGATTTTACGGTTTCGGCATTGTTCGACCGAAACGGATTCAATGATTCTATTTTAAGATAAAGATGCTTTTTCGTTATTTTAAGATAATTCACTTATTGACCGATATATAGAGTATAAAATCAAATGAAAGTTTAAAAATTTTTTTGTTTGGCATATTAGGGCTAGTGAAAGAGTATTTCCCGATTTTACCCATTTTCAACACAATAGCTCATTACTATCGAGAAAAAAATCCTCTCTTAATTCCAATACAATTTTTTTAGATTCACCGTTTTTTCGGTAAAAAGTCAGCCATAAGCATTATGGTTCACACAAACGGTATCTGGGGCTGGGCAACATTTGTTATTCATTTTCAACAAATCTTATACGTGAAATAACTTACCTCAAAATCACTATTTGTGCGTAATTTAATTGTGGCTGTGTCAATTGCATAATAGTTATACGCTGGACAGGGGATATTAAGTTTTCCACGAAGTTTGTAACACCCAGAAGGAAACGTCGGAGACCCTATAAAATATATTCATAAATAATCAGCATGATTAGCTGAGTTGATTTAGCCATTTCCGTCTATCTGTCCGTCCGTCCGTCTGTATATACGCGAACTAGTCTCTCAGCTTTTGAGATATCGATCTAAAATTTAGCATCTGTTCTCACCAAGAAGCTGCTCATTTGTCGGACCTTTTTTATTGACAAGATATCTTCATGAAATTTGGAACGGATCATTATCTAAGGCAATAATGGAATCTCCGAAGAAATTTTTCTGATTGGATCAGCATATCATATAGCTGCCATACAAACTGAACGATCGGGATCAAGCGCTTGCATGGAGAGTTGGACATCTCGTCTCATCATACTTACACTATTCTGTAGCTATCTCGATTAGTTTTGAGTGATTCAAACAACCGTTTAAAAACAAAACTATTATACATATAATATTCTGTTGTAACACGTTGTGAAAGTTTAACAATATGTTCGGTAAAATGCCCCGAAAAAAAGAGGATGTGCCGCGCAATATATAATATAATATAATATTATATTTTAACCTTTCTTCTATGTTAGCCTTTTTCAGATGTTAAAAATAATGTTGCTTTTGAATTCAGCATTTCTGTTAATTGACAAAAATTTTAATTGCTTACGATATAATATAGTTTACTTCCCTTTTCTTGTTTATATCGTTCATATTACTCACTATGTGAACCAAATTAATTGGTGTACAAAACATATAATTTGGACCTTAACCGCTGTTTACAATTGTACCCAATATATTGGGGAGAACACAATATTTTATTTGAATCCAAATACGATGGCTTAAAATGAAAATACCCGCGGG